CCTGCGTGGAGAAGGGGAACAGGAAGGAGGCCATCCAGGCTTTGGGATGTAGCATGCGCAAATGACCTGGGGTGACGAAACCCTGTTCAGAAAATGGCTCCTATGACAGCAGCGAGATGGGCGTGAATCTGGAGAAGCTGGCTAGAACCAGATAGCGGAGGTCCCTGCCTGCTAGACAGCAAAACTCTGGCTCCTCTCTGCAGGCGATGAGAGTCCTTGAAGGCCCTGAGCTGACATAGGCTTTTCCTCTTCCCTCTCCTGCCATAAACCTATTGTCTGTAGAGTCAGCAAGCAATCGTTTACAAGTGAGCAAACTCTCCTGTGGCTTCTCATATCTCTCAGAACGAAGCCAAAGCCCTCGCCATGCCCAACTGCATCTCTGATCACATGACATATCGTTTCCAGTTTTACTCAGGACAAACAGCCGTATAGTATTCACAGGCAACAGAGAGCATGGCAGGGGACTACCCCAGGCTGGCCATCCCAGAGACGCGCTTGAGGAACGCAGGGCTGTAGCTGGGGACCTTTGGGCTCCTCTGTCTTTGCAGCAAGAGACGCTGCCACAAAGCGCAGCAGATGTCCTGCCGCTGTTTACATGCCTCATGACCTGTCATCTCGCTCACAATGCTGAAGGGAGGTAGTCTGACCTGTGTAGTCAAAATAAAATACTAATGAGCCTGACCCTAGAAAACAGAAGGATTCGGCAAAACATGGTGGGGAGAGATAAACCTCTTCTGAAGAAAAGAAGTCAAGGCATTTTGTCTCCAGACAGGCTTGTGGTGACAGAGGGGGAAATGGATGCGACTTGTGTAGTCATTCAACAAACATCTGCTCGAGCATCCACTAACTACCAGACTCTGTATTCTGTATCAAAGATAAAAGAAACATGTAAGTCTTAGCTTCAAGACGCTCTTGGTCTAGTAGTTGAAGGTGTCTAACTACGATGCTACCCGCAACTAAGTAATGCGGAAAAAGAGGGGAGTACTTCATTTGGCAGGAGGGATTTTAGGAAGGTCATTTTTTTCTTTTGAAAGGAGGTGAAGCTTGAGCTGAGCCTTGAAGCTAATTTCTAATAACAGCTTACAGTTATTTTCTTTAATTTCTTAACATAAATAGATAGGGGCTTAAGATGCCAAGAAAATTTACTGATCAAATAGTACTGAGAGCCTTAACTTCAGCACCGTCAACCCTGCACTTCAAATGAGTCAGCAGTCACACACACACACACACACACACACACACACACACACACACACACACAGATTACCACAGTACATGTCAATCTGGCCAGGGATGATGGCTCATGGTGTTAATCCCGGTGGTTTGGGAGGCCAAGGCAGGAGAATTACTTGAGGCCAGGAGTTAGAGACCAGCCTGGACAACATAGTGAGACCCCATCTCCATAAAACATTTTTTAAAAATCAGCTAGGCCTGGTGGCACGTGTAGTCCCAGCTATTCAGGAGGCTGAAGTAAGAGGATTGCTTGAGCCCAGGAGTTTGAGGCTGAAGTGTGCTATGATCACATCACTGCGCTGCAGCCTGGGCAGCAGAAGGAAACCCTGACTCAGATATGATTAAATAAATCAACGTCAACCAATGAGAATAAAACTGTATGATTGATGGTGAAGTCCAACAGTGGAATGCTATACAGTCATTTTTAAAAATGAGATATACACTGAAGCGTGTCTATCATTGCTTGGTGAAAAATAATTGTATCTACAACTGTTGCCTGGGCTACTTACCTGCCGTGAGTCCTTGGGGAGTCCTCCCATGTCTGGGCAGTACCCCTACAGCTGGATATAGCCTAATGGTCTACATTTGCCTGTTTGTTGGTGTCCCCAACGAGAATGAACTCTTCCTGAGTAGAGGACTGGGTGTTGTTCGCCTTTTCCTGTGTGGTACTGAGCCCCCAGCACACAAAAAGATGTCCAGCCTACAGTTAAGGAGACTGACGATCTAGGATGTGACATTAGGTGTCGGACTCACATTCCCTTGACTAACTTTGACCTTGGTTTTTTGGGCTCCTGATCATTCATAATGACTCCACAGTTGACTGCCTGTAATGCAGGCTGGCAATGCCGAAGGCAGTTTTAGTGTATTTTAGGACTAATATCAGCATTACATTCACAAGCAAAGAAAAAGGACATCAATTTGTGGCATCAGTGAAAAGTACTATGCTATTTTAGTTGGAAAGTAATAATTTTGGAATATACTATTGATAATATCTTTGTGATTTTTAAGACAACCGTAGGCTAAGTAGAGGAGGAAAAGATGTCATTTGAGTAAAAGGGGGACCCCACCTATCGCGTTAACCATTGCGTTCCAAGCATTTAGTACAGCTCTTGGTTTAGTTCAATAAAACTTGCTGAATGAATGAGTGAAGTATATTAAATTTTTTAGCCTGTAAGCATATGGCTTGCTTCAAAAGAGATTCAATTTTGTAGGACAGAAATACTCATCTTAATTCTGAACGATGCATTTAATTGAATCATGCACTTAGACATTTCTCGGGCAGCTACTAGGTGCCAGACTTTGCCAGCCTTTGTGTCTGGAAACACACGGAAGAGTAAGACATGAATAGGAGAGTTTACAGCCTGGCGGGAGAAATAGATACGTACACACATATTTGTAGTGCAGTGTGACACTTGTATAATAGAGGAATTCCATGATCTAAAGACACAAAAGGGGTCATCCGTTTAGCTTGTTGGAGAAGAGGAGAGGTTTCAGAAAATGTTGCCCCAGAACGCGTTTTAAAGGATGGATAAGAGGTTCTGAAGAGCCTTGATACTCTCAATACCCATTTAATCTACTATTTAATTTGTCATGATAACAAAAATGTTTTACCTCTGCTCCATATGTCTAGTTTTTAAAATTTACTTTTTATTCATAAAACCATTTTTTTTTTTAGTTGGAGTCTCACTCTGTCACCCAGGTTGGAGTGCAGTGGCACGCTCATGGCCTCTGCAGCCTCAACCTGCTGGGCTCAGGCAATCCTTCTACCTCCACCTTCTAAGTAGCTGCAACTACAGGGGTGAACCACCACGCCCGGCTTATTTTTTGATTTATTGTAGAGACGAAGTCTTGCCAAGCCTCCCAGGCTGGTCTCAAACCCCTGAGCTCAGGCCATCCTCTCACCCTGGTCTCCCAAAGTGCTAGGATTACAGGCTTGAGCTACCATGCCTGGCTCATGAAACCATTTTATATACTTTGCTTATCACTGGTTCTTTACTATAATTCTAGTTTTAAAATAACAACAACTCTAGCACAATTTTTAGAAGGTCATACATCAAGTAAATATTTATTTATATTTTTAAAATTATCCTAGGTCTTGAACATGAGAAAATGAGAGTTCCGTGGTTTTAAGCTAGACTTCTTATATATGAGAAATCGAAAAGCTATATGTTCAACCATAGACTTAGCTTTCTTCACCATCTTTTCATTTAAAAACTTACTTGTGATGAGATAGATGTATTAAATAGCTGATTTTGCTGTTTGTTTATTAAAAATGGTAGCCTCGGCGCTGGAATCCCACTCTCACCTGGAATCAATAATTGCACCGTCAAGGAAACCTCCCACTGGCAGGGGCCAGTGCATCCTTCATCCCCTTTAATTTCTCAGAGGTGTGAACAACACAATTTATTCTTGTTGCTGGATGGCAACACGGCCATTTGTGAAAGCTTCATTAAAAACCACCTGCTGATGATTCAAACTCAGTGCGACTAAAACTGCTCCTGGATTTGAGTTATGGATTTAGAGATGAAATGGTTTATTCCTTTACTACATTATTTAATTTCTGCTAGGAAACAGTACTTAAAACTCAGGTTTCAGTAAGAAAAGTAGTTAAAATATGTTGGTGGGTTTTTTGTATGAGTAGTATTATTACTGTATCAAATGAGAATCAGTCCTGAGCAAGTCTGAGCATGCCTGTGACATTCAATTTCTGCAATACAACAGGAGTCGCATACAAGTAGACAACGATGCTGTTGTGAAATGAGGTGGAGTCTATTCGATAGACTCCAACAATGTCCCAAACTTTATGAATCTTCAGGTGTTCCGTGAAAATTCAGCATGACTGTTAGCCAAAGAGCATAAGGATCATCACCATATACAAACTGTGATCTTTCTGATGTATAAATGTGGTAATGCATTCCACTGCTCCAAATTCTTCAAAACCTCCTTTGGTCTAAAAACGTAAACCCTTTTTCATTCAAATCAAGGTCATCCTACCTGGCTAGCGCTCCAGTGTCAAACCCCTCCACTTCAGAGTCCACCAGGACTAATATACTTTTGGATTCTAGAATATGCACCGGCGCTATCCTTTCCCCCTGCCTTTGATTCTGCGGCTTCCTGTGTCCAAATGACAGTACGTTTTGGTAAAACTCTGTTACATCCTTGCCCAGGCAGATTTCAACGCACATTTTTTTTCTGTGTCACTGCAGTATGGGCTTGCAACTAATAGTCCTAGAATTGTACTACGATTATTTTAATATCTTTCCCCATCCAAAAAAAAAAAAGATATTAGAAGGGAGAATCCCTTCGGTTTTCTAGCCTTTAGTACAGTATTTAGCCAATGAGAAAGATCTGTACATATATGCATGAATGAATATTGCTCACTAATGCAAACGTTTGCACATAAAAGGAAGAAGGAGCCATGAGACTGTAAAAAAAAAAAATCTTCCTTCTTCCTTTCAGTTTTTTGTCACATGTTCAGCATGTGTCCAGCCCATGTACCATGACGTACGTGCTGCATCTCCAATTCTCACCAAGCCCTGCGAGGTGGATCACACTCTTCCCATTATTTTTATTTTGCCCTTGAGAAAACTGAAGCTCAGAGAAGTCAGTCGACTAGACCACGCGTTGTCACAGAGCATAATCAGGAGTGAATAAGTCTGACTCCAGCGCCAGCACCCTGCCCCCACACCCAGCTAGCTTTCGATTGTTGTCAAGATCCTGAAAAGCTCAAATCCGATTTTGATTGAATCTCTTCCATTTCTTTCCAGCTCCAAGTACAGCCCAGTATGGAGTTACCGGGAGCGCGGATGTGCTTTTCTCCTGCTGGGACCTTGTGTTGATACTGTCCTCTTTCACCAGCATATTCTACCTGAAGAATGCCAGTCTACAATAAATTTAAAGACCCATAAAAGGCCTTTAAGGATTCTCTGCAAGTGCTGATGGCTGGATCCAATCTGGTACAGTTTGTTAAAAGCAGCGTGGGATATGATCAGCCGTGCTTACATGGGGATGATCGCCTTCTGTAGAATTGCTCATTATGTAAATACTTTAATTCGACTCTTTTTTGATTAGCTACATTACCTTGTGAAGCAGTACACATTGTCCTTTTTTTAAGACGTGAAAGCTCTGAAATTACTTTTAGAGGATATTAATTGTGATTTCATGTTTGTAATCTACAACTTTTCAAAAGCATTCAGTCATGGTCTGCTAGGTTGCAGGCTGTAGTTTACAAAAACGAATATTGCAGTGAACACGTGATTCTTTAAGGCTGCAATACAAGCATTCAGTTCCCTGTTTCAATAGGACTCAATCCACACTGACAAAGATGCATTTTTTTCTTTTTTGATAAAAAAGCAAATAATATTGCCTTCAGATCATTTCTTCAAAATATAACACTTATCTAGATTTTTCTGCTCGCATGATATTCAGGTTTCAGGAATGAGCCTTGTAATTTAACTGGCTGTGCAGCTCTGCTTCTCTTTCCTGTAAGTCCAGCATGGGTGTGCCTTCATAAAGTAACATTTTTCTCTTTGTCTCCAACTAGTATCAAACGTTGTGCAAAATCTTAATATTTGAGAGCAAAGACTATATCGCAATGATCTCGTCAAACTATACCCTGTCTCTAAAGAATGAAGGAGCCAGGAGACTGTAAAAAAAAAAACATCTTCCTTCATTCCCAACAAGGTTTGAGAATTTGGCCCCACAATCCCGCAGTCTTTGTGATGAGAAATGATTTAATTACGTAGCACAGGAAACATACCATGTGATTTGCATAGTTCTCACCAAATGTTACATCCACTGTGGGAAATCATCCCCTTTAAGATGACAGCACCGTCCACTCGAGGGCTGACCTGGCAATACAGCATCTTTTCTTTTCACTATTGGAAGCCAAAATTGTTGAGACAGTTTGTCAGAAAGGACACACAGTCCAGTCACCTACATTCCACGAGTTGGTAAGAGCTCATAATTCGTTGGGTTTCATCATGAGTGAGTATGAGGGAGACAGTGCTTCCATAGGCAGGAGCAGTGTGCGTGTTTTCCACCCGCGAATATCACTCAGTTGGTAGTCTGGAGCACGTTAGGCTAAAAAACTCCAAAATATGTCATATCAAGCATTCTATATTGGTATGTAGCAGATCAATCCCTGAAATGCCAAATTCTTCCATAAAATATGTCTCTCTAGCCATTTTAGTGCAAACAAGTGAAGCCAAAAACAATTTGCTATGCTTTATTTTTTCTTACACGATATATGTAAGAGGTGATCAAATAAAGACATCAGTGATGAGAATATCTTAAGATACATTAGTTATTAAATTCTTGTGAATGTTAAATTATTTCTATTATTAAAAAATTACATGTTTGAAGGAAAATGCTGTTGCTCTAAGTATTACATTACAGGAATAGTTTGATGATTTTACTCTTTACTAAAGAAAGACCTTAACCTTGAAAGCTATTTTTCAGGTTTGATGAAGTTACCAATTTCAGTACACCTAGATTTCTGCAAATAGTCCCCGTTGGCAAGTCATAACAACTACAAAGATCCTACAAGTGAAATTAGAGATAAAATGTTTTACAGTGGCTTACATATTGAAAAGAACTAATATGTTACCCTAGATGGGGTGGCTTGAAAACTGCAATTTTTTTCGAGTAAAATGCACTTCCAAATTATACCATAAATCCGTTTTAATTAGAAAAATGAATCTTAAGTAAGGGGGCATAAATATACAAACTTTCCACAAAAATGACAATAATATGGCATAATGCTATTAAGTTTACCAACTGTGATAAATTTATGACACATTTTGACTGAGCTATTAAAAATAGGTTTTTTAAAAACCAATATGACATTTAACTTTATTATTTATTTGCATTAAAAAATTATTTGTGGAATTAGTTAATAAACTATAAAGTATTACTTTGTATTGCAGCTTTAAAGTGGCACACTCCATATTAATCTACTTACTAGAAATAGTGGTGCTACCACAAAAGCGTTAACCATCAGTACCATTGTTTGGGAGAAAGAAACAGATCAAGAATGCATACTATACAGTGACCGCTTTCCTAGAGTTAAAAATACCTCCTCGTTGTAAGGTCTGTAGGGTAAATGTGAGGTAAATTGAGGTATAAACTATGGATGAACCAAATAATTAGTTCAAAGTGTTGTCATGATTCCGAACTTGTGGAGTCTGGTGTTTCCCCATAGAATGTGACAGAGGTACAGTCATAGCCCAGTAGCTCTATGTATTTGCCTTTATGTTAGAAGAGACTTTCTTGAGTGACATTTTTAAATAGAGGAGGTATTCGCTATGTTTTTCTGTATCACAGCAGCATTCCTAGTCCTTAGGCCCCTGGACAGAGTGAAATCATGAGTATTTATGAGTTCAATATTGTCAAATAAGGCTACAGTATTTGCTTTTTTGTGTGAATGTATTGCATATAATGTTCAAGTAGATAATTTTACATTTATGGACATATAAAGTGTCTGATTACTCCATTTTATCGGTCCTGACTGTACAAGATTGTTACAATTTCAGAATAGCAGTTTTATAAAGTTGATTTATCTTTTAATCTATAACAATTCTTTAGCTCTTCATTTCAGCATTATATTGGCCACAATTTCCATTTGTGGGACTTCTTTTGGTTTCCCCTAATTACCTTCAAAGAACAGTAAAGGGAAGTTGCAAAGGAGAGTAGAGAGAAAAGGAAGGAGAAAGAGAGGGGGGAAGGGAGAGAGAGAAGAGAAGGCTGAGAGGGGGGGAAGCCTCAGAAGATTAGGGTAGTTGACTTATTCATCTGCATTCTTAATTTAACTGCACGTGGTGTGATCATATTTCACATGATCTCATTCGAAACACAAGTCCTGTTACACCATTAAGTTCTTCTTAGGCAGCAATGATGTAATGAAAAGTACAGCCCAAGTTACAGTATTGTGCTTTTTTGAGACACTAAGAGATTGGAGAGAATTTCAAATTTAAAGCCACTTTTGGGGGGGGGGGTTCTAACAACTGAAAAATCAATGCTTCATCATAACATTTAAACTATATCTAGAAAGTAGACTGGAGAACTGAGAAAATTACCCAGATAATTCAGGGCAAAAAAAATATAAGCATAAATACCCCTATGTATGAAGTCAGAAAACTCTGAGAAACTGAATTATCAAAGCCGATCATCCATATTGATAAAATTTACTGAATAACTGTTAATTTATCCATTGTGCTTAGCTTTGTGACACAGCCAAAAGTTACCTATTTAATCTTTTCAATAAAAATTGTTTTTTGAAATCCAGAAATGATTTAAAAAGAGGTCAGGTTTTTAACTATTTATTGAAGTATGTGGATGTACAGTATTTCAATAGATATGAATATGAATAAATGGTATGCCTTAAGATTCTTTGAATATGTATTTACTTTAAAGACTGGAGAAGGTCTTCCTGTCTTTTAGTAAAACGTCCATATTTCATAACCTGATGTAAAATATGTTGTACTGTTTCCAATAGGTGAATATAAACTCAGTTTATCAATTAAAATATGTATTTGACTCATTTTAAAACTCTATTAGTTTAAGTGAGAAAAGGGAGAAATAACAATGTTAAGCCATTGCTGCTATTCCCTTCCTCACTTCTTGATACACTCACTGTATCACCTTGTATCTTTCTGGTACCTCAAAGCAGTACAGGGTGGAAATTTTAGAAGCTACGGTTTCAGAGAACCCCTCGCTTTAGCTTTCTCTCTGTTGCTAATTCTCAAAAGGTTTGATGAGCTAAAATACATATAACCTAAAAAAGAATTTTTCTGGAGATATTTTATTATCAATTGTTTAGAACTTTTACCTGGAAAAATGCAGCAGAGTTAGTCACAGAGACTGATGATAAAATTCAAATGTATTACAAGCTAAGTAACTAAAAACCCAAATACCTGCAAGCACCAGGCAGAGTATAATTTGTTATGACAGCTGGGTATAAAACAACAGGCACCTCAAAACATTCAGATACAATTTCCCCCCAAATACCTTGCTTTCCAAGAAAACCATGTTATATGGTGGAAAGCCCTTAGTTTGTGAGTACTGAACTATAACATGCAAACAGGACCTCACCCCAGATGAAGGATTTAAACTTTCTTTCCCAAATTTGTCCTACCATGATAGTAAATGAAAACCAAGTAAATGAGAACAATGTGGTAGATAAAACAAAAAACTATATTTAAAAAGATTCATGCTTGGTTTAATAAGGTATTTTGAAATGCGGGCATCATTGCTATTCTTGGAAAATCAGATGCATCAAACCTCTCCCCTCACCACACACACACACAAATGAAAACCACTAACAAATGTCTCTTTCCCCACTGCCTCATCACTTCATCCATTTTCAGCTTCTGGACTGAATTCCGTTACGTTATCAAAGCAGCAGCATCACCAGACCTGGAAAGCTAGTGTGGAAGGCTGAGCGAGTTTCTCTGAACATAGTAGGTCAAAACATAGATACTTCAAAACCACACCCAGTATGCGGAAAAGAACTCTTCATTTTAGCTGGGCAGGCAAAAATATAAGTGCACATTTTTGGAGAATATTTTCCAAGATTTGTTCAAGATAGGGGAATTTGATTTGAACATGAAATTCATGTTCCCCCTTTCAACTTCTCAAGAAGCATGTGACTTCCCATTTACATGCCTTCTTCTCCCAATAATTCCAAACTCACTAAAAGTATTTGGGAATTGATATCGCCAGTGGAAGGAGATCAGACCAGGAGCAAATTAAGGGAGCACTTTCCAGTCTTCCTGGAGGGAAAGAGAAGAGGAACCACTTTCCCCACAGTCATCCTAATGCCAGACCAGACTTCCCCAAAGCCTTCGGTCCAAGAAACCCGCTCTACCTCAGAGACAGACAGGGTCGCGACTGGAGTCATCCCTGAAGGGTAGTGACTGCCTCTCTCTTGCACTTCACAGTGGCAAAGCACCTTGGCAACCATTGCTACTTTGGCTTTTGCAAGACTTTAAAATACTCGAAGCAGAAAATATTATTGCTGTCATGCATTGGTGATGAAAATGAAATTCAGAAATGTTAAGTCACTTGCTAGAGATTATAGTTCATCCAGGTGACAGATGTGACCCAAATATGCAACACAAAATACTCCCCATCTGTTTCAACTCCCAAGAGCCTAGCTAGGAAGAAGAAGAGGATGCAATCACATTGGCAGCTTCACAGACAACTAGATATACGCATATTTACGGTAAAAAAGATCAATATGTAGGCCATTCTTGTATTTCCTAAGGCCTCCAGAGGGCATGGAATTGAAAGGGAAATCAATTCCATACATGTCACCCAAAACTTTGGAGGAGTGAAACATACATGTCCCAGAGGCCGAGATTGCACTAGACCCATCACACCAAATGGAGACTCTGGCCATAATCACATACACCTTCTTTCTTCTACTTAGCATTTTGCTGACACTCGTCAAGTTTGGGATAATCTGCTGAGACTATTCCTCAGTCACCTGCAATCAACAGAATCTGGGGGAAATGGGGGTCAGAATACAAACACATATTTTTTAAAATTCATAGTAGAACACTGATTTCAATCTTGAGTGATGTTGGTTTGAGCCAGTTTATGTCAAAATACTAATTATACGCACATCTGTTCATGCCGGCACAGAAGAAAAAGAGGGAGGTTTTAATTCTAGAAATTAAATGATATGCAACCGAGGAAATACATTTGTATTTTGCTATCAATATATAAATATAACGCGTATCCTATGGACATCACCCTGTAGTTTGAAAAGCTTGAAATGGCATGACTTTCATAAACTTACAGAATTAACACATTAATTCATTAATGAAGGACCCACCAAGATGTTACAACCAGATAAAAGGACAATCCAATGAACACCCACATTTAGAGGTCAAGAATATTGAAATTAATGTGCTAATGTACACAAGCCCAGCCTCTTCCAGAGTGAGGACGATAACGCAACTGAAATTTTAGCCAACAAAGTTTATTTTCATATGTATAGACAATAAATAATTTGCTTTGGTCTTACTTATCTGTAACTTGGAAAAGAGTTGAAATGAAAAAATACAGAAGCCCCATAGGATCAGAATCAGGTAGCCTGCAAGAGTATGCTCTAACTAACACATGGTTTTCATTCACCGCAGTAGTTAGTTTTCTCTAAAATGATGAGTTGTGAACACTTTAAAAAGCAGTTGAAGTAAATGAATTGCTAACATTTTCGGGTTTTGAGACCACAATCCCTATTTTAATGGCTCCGAAAAACTCCAGGTTATCTCTATAGCTGCCACTCTGCATCCTGTGTTCTGACTCCTCGTTTTCTTTCTTGTCCCACAAACCGTTATCTGACAGTCTGGGAGGTGTAGAAGGGGAAACAAACCCAACAGCAGCCACCTTGCTTCAAGAACCTACCCTGTTGAAAAGTTCACATACTGGGGACTTGTTAAAATGAAAGAAAAAGTCTTTGGGTCACCGGGGGCACTTGATTCACGGCTGAACAGGAATTTCCTGTCAACAGCAGTAAGAACAACGAAGTCACAGTCGAGATCACACTGTCTCCTCAACCAAGTACCAAGGGAAGGACATCGCTGAAGCTGTGGCGAGAGCTGAGTGGCCTACTTGCCCTTGCTGCTAATGAGTCCAGTCCTAACCCAGGTTTTGGCCTGGGAGACACAACAGGAAGTAGCACGTTCACTGGGCTTTCAATGCTTTCAAAGGTTCAAGGCGTTCGTTTTCCTCTTCATTTCAGGTGGATGACTCAAAGAGTTGGGATGTTCCTTGGTAGAACTTTGACTTTGCTCATTTCTTCGTGAATGCTGACCTTTTTACACTCAAAGAAAGTTAACTTTGAACTAAGCCCCAGTAGACTCCTGCAGTTCTGAACTGTGCTTAAACCAGTCCTACAAGCACATGGGTTTTCCTGAGAAAATCTGGGGACCATATCTTAGAAAAAGGACTTATAAAGTATGCATTAAAGACTATAATAGGCTCCAAATAAAGAACAAAGTTTTCTTGACTGTTCTAAAACACATAATAGGATCACAGAACTCTTTACACAGTTTTCTAAGTCATTTCATAAATGTGGACTGTGGCTACCCTGAAACGTGACATCTGTCCACCACACACTTGGGGAGAGACCTGGCAGAAACATGGTCAGTCGCTCAATTTGGACTTACTCCTTAAGACAGTGTTGCCAGGAGTTTGAAACTCCTTCAAGCTGATGTCTTTTTCAAAACAAAACTCATATTCACACACAAACACAAAATTGCATCGCTATCAGTGATCTGGAAAATAAGTTTGCAAGCTGTCCATGTGGGGTTCTGGATAATAAAAATAACTTTTAAAAAGTAGAAGAAATAACAACAGTGCAACCAACGGATCTATTTATGTTTTCTTTGCTAAGATTTTCGCACAGGGAACATCTTACGAATTTTTTTTCCTTTTTTTTATTTTAAAGATGTGGGGTGCAACTCAGGGTTAAGTATACAAGTGGTAACTGTGTAGGTAAAGTCTGGGCCTCGCTTTTGTCCACACTTCACCTGGTTTGAGATCAGGGACCCTTATTGATGAGGTGTGCCCTCTCTCTCCCCTGGCAGTTTCCCTTTCTTACATAATTCTGATAAATGTTCAGGGTCCACTCATGAGTGAGAACATGTGGTACTCAGTTCTTTGTTTCTGCATCTTATGATTTAATTCGTTGAAATCTGGCACTGGCTCTACATACGGACACGGAGAAAGCAGAATTTTTAAAATTTAGAATAAAATTTGTTTCTGGAAATGTATCTTTCCTGTGGATAGACAGCTAGATAATGCTTTGGAAAGTCTTACTGGCTAATAACTTGGAATGCTGACAAGGAGAAGGACTGGAGTTTTGTTTTTAAATTTCAGAGGAACTACTTTCCCTGGAAATGTGTATTTCCAATTTATAAACAGACAAACAAGTATGTATGTTCAGAATTCCTGTTCTCTCATTATTTAAATTTCAAAATGTATTAACAGATTTTACGTATGACAATTATATGTCTTTCATCAATAACACAAAAACATAATGATTTCTATTTTTATGTTGGGGTGCACTGGGCTAGTCTCATTTCAAGAAGAACCTAGCATCTGTTGATTTTGGAAATGTTAAAAGTCAAATCTAGTTGAGACTAAAAAGAGATTTACCTTAACCTCTGTCAGATAACTTGAAATGTTCATCCATGCATTTGTTCTCTCGTTCAATCATGAATTCTGATTCGGGCAACCTTCAAAGAGTCGTCTAACAGGAATTATCTGAGAGAATTAATCTGGATGTTAAGAGGATTGCCATCAAACTGGAGAAAAAGACCTCTGCTTCCTCTATTTCTCTAGGAAGCCAAACTCACCTTAATACTCAAACCGAGAGAGGAAAAGGAAGCAGGGGGAGGAGGCCAGAAAAGGAGGAAGGTGGGGAGAGGGCGAGGGCAGAGTGAGCACCAAGGGGAAAGAGAAAGGCAGAGGAAGAGAGGGAGAGAGAGGAGGAGAGAAAGAGATGAACGTATGTTT